TAAATATATATTTCATATAATATACATTATTGCAATTATTTCGGTTATTATTTATATTTAACTTCTCCTTTACTTTGTTCACGTACTTGATTTTTACATTACCTTCATTTCCCAATATTTTTTTTTTTTTTAGGTCACCCTTTTTAATTTTTAAAAAAGTATTATCCCTGGTACCAGGTTGTCCTCACTTCATACTCCAAAGGACTGCCATTTCTCTGTGTTACTGGACATGAGCTGGTATGTTTGAAACTTGGAATATGATCTGAAAGAAATTCCTCTTTCCACCCACCTTCTCGTGCTGAAAGGTAGCTGTGGAAAACATTTCTGTATTTTTCCAAAGAAACACCATTGCTCATAAAACTGAGTGCACACAAATAGGTATTAAGGTGGGGTATATTCAGGATTACTAGTCTGATACGTGCGGAGCATCCAACGATGGAATTTGCAGACCAAGAAATAGAGGATAATGGTAAATGGTATATGCTAAAATCCACGATTCGGATTTTTCAGAGGGTTTTTCAGAGACAGTGGACTCCCTAATCATTTTCTTTTCCGTGTGTCTACAGGAAAAAAAGTGATTTTCAGTATGTTTGTAAAAAGGAAGAAAAACATTTTAGTGTCATTTCATGAATTACTTGCTTTCAAGTGCTGATGAGCTTGTCCCAGCAGCATATGTGGTTGTCCTGGTTGCATTGGTGACTGCAGAGAGACCCCAGTCTGAAAGAAGAAAGTCCTGCCCCTCCTTGGCTGGTCAAAGGGGCAATCTCTGTCCCTGGTTGTCAGCTGCAAGCCAGGGAACAGCATGAAGACTGGTAAAGCCTTACAGTTTCAGTTTCCTTTAGCAGCAGCTGAACAAATGGCCTCAGTTAATGGCTGTGGTCACCCTCCCTGCCAAGTCCACAGAGTGCTTCCTATTCCCAGCAAATCACACCTCCACCTTTTGGGAACTGGGTGTGAGTGGCCTTTTTCTGGGCTTTTTTTGGCCATGTAGCCAGTAACACCATTACAGCTTCTGTAATTTGTCTCTCTTAGTTACCAGTGATCAGACCTTACACAGAATAAGAAAACCTCACTGACAAGCAAGAATGACAGGTTTCTTTATGTACTAAGCAAAGTCTCCAGACAAAGAGCTGCTGGGGAGTGCCCTCAGCAGATACCTATATATATATACCTCCAGCCATGTCCTGCTGAGCTTGCAGGACTGACAATGGCATTCAATGCACCCTTAAACTAGCTGGCTCCATGTACAGAGTCTGTATAAGAAAGGTCTGATAAACATGGGAGCTTTGCTGGTGAACAGAGTGGCGTTCCCAGGGTAGTACCCCTTTGAGGCCAGGTTTGGTGACCCAGGGATCCAGTAAATTACTGAGTCCCAGCCCAGATTTGCATCATCTTGCTGCAGTGTGTGCGATGAAGCCATGTTTGTTTGCACGGACTGGTGAGCTGGCGCTGTGCAGGGATGCCAGGTGCTGATGAGAGTGTCAGGAGGCAGTTTGGCTCTTTACTTTGTGATTTGAATTCATGTCCCCAGGCAGCCTGGGAACAGTTGACCCTCTTCTGACACCTTCTGTGTAGACACAACACTTTCTTATCTGCACCTTTTGCATGCAGTCAGGGTCCCAGTCACTTCATGAAGGATTTTGGCTACGTCTAAACAGCAGAACCAAGAGCACTTGGAACCTCCTGCATCCCCATCTTGACGCTCTTTTGAAGAGACCTTGGCTCACAGCATTTTCCTCTATTTCCCTGGAAGGCAAGCAAGGATGTGTAGGAGAAGCGAGACATTTATATCCGTGAAACCTTTTATAAAGTCAGCATGCAGTTGTCTTCATCCAGGTACTGCTGTACCATGCAATATCTTGATGGCCACTTGGCTGCGATTGCTTTGCAGGGCTGATCATGTATTTAGGGATGTGTCCTCAACTGATCAGGGGTCAAAATGCTCAAATATCAACGCTTTCTTTAAATGCTGACATGCAGTCAGGAGGAGCAGCATGCTCCTGGAATTGATACGTGCCTGTCATTATTCCCCCAGTGCACGGGGCCGTGACTTGTGTGCAGCCAGGCACCCTGCAGAGGTGGTGTCCTGGCTGGAGGCACCTGAGCGGCGGCAGCAAGAACAACACTAGTCTTGCCGTTTATGCAGACTTTGTACGTGTGCAGTTCATGCCACAGCTCTGTGGGTGCTGAGGTGGGACAGCGCACAGCCTGGGCAGCCCTGGCACTGATGTGCTGCCCTGTGGTGTTACAGTGCAGGTGTTGTGAGAGGAATGTAGGACCACAGCTTTTAAAGGCCATCTCAGAAGCCTTTCCTGTGCAGGTCTCTTGCCTCGCACAACACACCCTGAGAGGATTAACCAACAGAGGAATAATGTTTTTTGCTATGTCTGTTTTGTTCCTCTTCTGCTGGATGTTTGTGTCACATGCTGCTGTCCCTTTTGCTGCCTGGTACTTGCATCATTCCTTGCAGTCCACCCAAGGAAAGTGGTAAAGGGAGAACGAGCAGCTCCACTGAGACTTCCCCACCTTTAAGTCTGAAGGGGCTGCCAAGGAACCTGCTGAATTTGGAGGCCATAGCTGAAAGCACTGGTGATGCTAATAATAATGTTGAAGTCTTTTAAAATACTCTTTTTGGGGTTTTGGGTTTGGGGTTTTTTTTCCTAGATTCATTGAAGGAAACAAAATTGAAACCATTTCAAGAAATGCTTTCCGTGGCCTTCGAGACCTGACTCACCTGTAAGTTATTTAACACTTGGTAGAGCAATTTCTGCTTGAACAAAACTCTTTGGGGGACCACTGTTTTTTCTGCTACAGAGAAAACCTCTCTTCCCCTCCATGCATCAGCTTCCTCCTGCTGTCAGCAGCATGCCTCCCTCAAGTTAAAAACTGGCCTTAAAAGAACTCCTGCTGGGGCAGCCCTGTGGCATGTTGGGCTGCCTGTGCACACTCGCAGCTTGTGCTGGGAGGCAGCTGCTGCCCGCGGATGCGGCGCCGGTACCATCGCCACACTGTGTGCTCGTGATTATCAGTCCTGGTTCTTTTCAGCATGCTCAGTGATTGCTCTGTGTGTTGCATTTGCACCTGGGCAATAAAAAAGCTTTATGTATTTTACTTTTATGTGAGATTCAAGCAATCTCCATTCTCAAATAAGAATAATTAATATGGACCTGTTCCTTACAACTATTAACAATGCCAGTGGCTGGACGGTTCTAACAACCTGTAAGTGAGCTCAGACTTAGTAAGAGCCAGCCAGACAAGAGACGGCAATGGTACTAAGCTCTTAACTTTCTTTTCTAGTTCTTTGGCCAATAACCATCTCAAAGCTCTGCCGAGGGATGTCTTCAGTGATTTAGATTCTTTAATTGAACTGTGAGTAACAAGAATCTTTCTGTTGACTGCCTAATTCTGTCACTCCATTACTCTTGAGTTTTACATTCTGGGTTTGTGTGGTGCTGTACCTGACATCTGCACAGGAAAGAAATGCGCCTTTTGTTGTGCTAGCTTTCCTAATTTTAAAATTGTTTACTTGGTAGATTCCTCTAAAATAACTGCTCTTTCTCAAATCACTGTTGTTTCTCATGCTGCTGTACATAGCTTGCATTATTGTACTTCTTTCTGATGTTTCATATAAATTGTTTTTCAGGGAAGGGGAAACAACGAATTTTAAAACTACAGTTTCTCTAAACATTTTTTCATGTTACTGTGCATGCACCCCCTGAGATTATTTTAGTGAAAGGCATTCATTTAAAAAACCCACCTTTTTTCTTTTTCTTTTATGTAGTTGTAGCACATTGTTGACTTACTGTCAGTGTTGTCTTGTATAATTGAGCTGATAGTCAGCTTTCCTTATTTTTGGCCTGGCTCTCCCAGACAGCAAAGTATAACTGTAAGCAACAAAAGTTGCCAGGAGATCGAAGAACAAGTACATTGTTGAAATTGCACATACATTAGTAGGGGAAGGTTAAATTGACCACACATCAGCAGCGACTCAAAAAATACAAGCCTTACATCTGTATTTTAATGTAACACAGAAATGGTGCCAGCAAGGCCACTCTGTCAACCAGCAGTACTGGAGTAGTTTAGTGAAGGAATGGGATTTATCTGTGTCAGCAGCAGATGGAGGAAAGGAGGCTTGCAGCAGACAACCGAGCTGTCAGGATTTATTACATTACAGTCCTAATCCTATGAAAATTTGTAACGTGAGTGACTTTACATGTGAATCACAGTGCTCCATTATTATGATTATATGTGAGCATATTTCCTAGATTGAAACAGTTTTTCCAAGGACAACACTCAGTGAAGGAGAGTTCATAGTATGAGAGTCCAAATAAAACTGAAGAAACTTCCCTATTCTCAGTTCAGAAACAATTCAAGGCTACTCAGATATTTTTAAATTCAGCATGTCAAGGTGATAACAGTTCTGTAGTATTCGTATTGCTATCAACCTTTTCAAATCTGTTTATTTCTGTGTGTTTTTTTAGAGATTTAAGGGGAAATAAATTTGAGTGTGACTGCAAAGCCAAGTGGTTGTTTTTGTGGTTAAAGATGACAAATTCCACTGTTTCTGATGTCCTGTGTATTGGTCCAGCAGAATATCAGGATAAGAAGTTAAATGATGTGACAAGTTTTGATTATGAATGCACCACTACAGGTATTCAGAATGTATATTTCTAAGCACACTACAAATGGTTAAATATCAGAAGTTTAGACTATATCCTTTTGCTTCTGTGAGCATGACCTGGGGGGAGGAAAGGGTTACATATAAAGCACTTCCAAGTACTAGAACAACTATAAAATGGGAAAATTACATTTCGAAGTCAAAGTAAGTATTGAGTTTTTATTTGGATTAAATGATAATGGAAGAAGAGCTCCGACTATTCATATTCCAAAAGACTTGATTATGACTCCCTTTGCGACCTACTTGTCATCACAGAATGCTTTCTATTATCTGGAATAAGGCCATATAGTTATGGCATATGAGCTTCCCAAAATCTCTGTATTTTACAGAAAGCAATGAAAAGAAGTTAAAATAATGTGGCTGTATCTGTTATCTTTATTCAATAGGCCACAGCTTAATAGCATCAAAAGGGTGGCAATACTGCCAGCTGTTCTTCATGGAACTCCATTAAGTTGTGGGAAATGTCCAATAATATTCTCACTACTGTCTTGTTTAGGATCTTGATTTTTATTTTAGGTAATGTAAAGCATGCTAAAGGAAGTGAAGAGAAACTTGCATGTGGTTATGCTCCTATTTTATGGCTGAACAGCTGCAGTTACCTATCTTTAACTGTAGTCACATCATATAACTGACTATACCAGCTGCGAGTATTGTTTTTCATCTTTCATGTATATGATGTCAGCACTCTGCCTTTTTTCTATACAGTAATACCAGAGGCGTTCAAGTTCTCATGTGTCATCAAGTCATCACTATTAAAAGACAATAAGAAAGTTGATTACTAGTAATGTAAAATGAAGTTTCATGACAGGGTATGAATGGTAATCCAAGGGCAATATATAAAGGAAAAGAGAATTAACTTGAAATTGAAAAATACATCAGAAGAGTAGCAGGGGTAAAGCATGATAATCTGCTACATAAAAGGATGTCAAAACAGGAAAGCAGTACAGCTTAGAACAGTACCTAAGTTACATTCCTGTGTCTGCCAAGTCACTGAGATGCCAAAGTGCAAAGTAAAAGCCGCTTTATTTCATTGCAGTCTGGTTTAAGCAATTGCACACCACTAACATTGCGGACGAACAAGCCTTGTCTACCTGGTCCTCACACCTATACTGACCTACCTGCCCTCTGTCATCTCTTTGTACCTAGAAACCTAAGTCTGAGGTTGCAACAGGCAAAATTCACCCTTAATGTTAGTTCCTTGGTCTGCTGTAGGTGAAATTCCTCCAAGCATGAATGTAATTTCACATGCTGTAGTTTGCTGGGGAGCTAAGACGTTATGTGGTGCAAGGATTGCCCAGCTGAGTATTTGTTCAGGTGCCGTCAGAGGAGTGCTCTTGCAGCACAGCGTATAGCTGTTACACACTCTTCGGATAGCAAAGGGCGTTTTCAGATCCGTTGTTCTCTGGGAAGGCTGTGTGCTGAACCCCTCTGGCCTGGGGGTAGGCAGGAGCAGGCTTCCCAGAGCTCCCGTGCATAGCGAAGGTGGAGGGTGTGGAAAACATGGAGCTCTGGCGTCCTTACAAAGTGCCAAGAGGGATGTGCAAGAATGACCTGTAAGAGACAAAACAGATTAAGTAGAGCAGAAATGCAGATCTTCAGGAATGTGTCACTCCTGAGACAGTATCATGTCCCCTGCACTGAACTGGAAGTTAGCTTGCTTAGGCTGTAACCCTCTGGTGGCCTTGGTGGTCTGCAGTGTCTGGCCACAGCTGCTTTTTCCTTCTCTGCCTTTGCCTTCCCCAGATCCTTTTGGATCGGGGGAAGGTCCACATTCATTCCTTGAGGAATGATTAGTCACAGGCTCAGGCTTGTACCATGTTCTGTGTGTATTGTCCTTTCCCACTCGGTGACAAGCAAACCTCTTTCATTCATGTTGGTCTTTCGTATTGTATTTCCCTCCTTTGCCAGGTGTGATCAGACTTTCCATCATTTCTGGTCTCTGGTACCCTGTGTTGAGCATGATTCGTTGTAGGATGTGGTAACAAAGCCGTTTGCTTGGTAAAATGTGCATCTCATTGGCTCCATTGGCTGATTGCATCTGCTGAACTGGTACAATGGTAACAGGAGGAGAGATGGAAAGAGGTGCTGCCAAATAAAAAACAAAACAAAACAAGACAAAGAACAAAATGCTCCTATTGCTTCTTAGAGAAAGCAATTCACAGTGTTGGTGATCTGCCCTTGTAACTGTTTCTGTGATAGCATCCCTCTTTTCCATGTCTCATGGCTGATACATCATGGAAGCAGGTCAAGCCATTTCATTTCGTTTCTGTTTCTTGTCCCGCAGCAGCGTGTGAGGGGCTGTGCTGTGGCTGTAAGCACAGTGGGGGGACATGTACCTTATGTTCAGGAGACTGGAAAATGGCCTCACACTCCCACAGTCACTGGGAACAGGCTGTGTGCATGCCTGGGACCTGCTTTGCCCAGCCCTACAGGCAGGTATCATCTCACTGAGCTTTGAAAGCTTGGTTTCCCCTTTCTGGGATTGTCTTCTGGAGGTGGTCCTCTCTTTCCTTATTGGCTGGAAGGAAGACAGTTTTCAAATTAAGAGTTACCTGCTCTGTACTCTCTTCTGTGCTGGGAATCACCTGTGCTGCCGTGGTGAGAGATGGGAATGGATGGCTATTGCTCTCTGGTAGCACACCCAGATCCCAGGTAGCCTCACCTGGAGTAGAACTCTCTACTGTGGGGAAGAAAGGACATGAGGAGAGGGGGACCAAGTCACAGGGTGCAGTTTAGGAGCTGCTGCCCTATCAGGTCATTGCTTCGCTTTCTCTTTAGTGTCCTCCAGTATTCCCTGCGTGCTGCCCCTCTGCTCTACCAGCATCAGTGCTCCTGTGTGCTGGGATCAGCCAGAGCAGTGGAAGGGAAATTAGCCCAACAACGAGTGCTGGGTCCCTCATCCATCATCACTAATGCCAGTTCAGCAGCAGAGGGAGCAGAAGGAGCAGGGGCAGAGTGGGTGGCTGGAAGATGGGGTGGGCACACTTCCCCAACCATCAGAAAGCAGTGTTAAAACCATGCGGCTTGAGACAGGGTCAGTAAAACCATGCAACAGACAACAAAAACCATGCAACAGAGAGAGAGCAACAGACTGGGCAGCAAGCAGCACAGGGGAAGCAAGTGCTGCATCCTCTTCCCTCTCCTGTGCAGGCTGATCTAGCTTCAAAGAGAACAATGTTGGGACAGCCTTTCCATCCCCATCCACCCCCCCTATATTTACTGTACAAGCTCTTTCTAGAGTTAAAGCAAGGCATGTGAACCTGCCTGTAAAACTAAATCAAGCCACCAAGACCTGAATTGTTGGCAATCCTGATGTGGCAGCATCTCTCTACTATGTAACTCTGTTCTACATTGGAATCTGGTATTTCCAGCTGGTGCTAAAACCAACATTTATTGCTTTTTACTGATTATGACTGATTTTGTTACCATTTTTTACTCATCCAGTGATACAAAGAGCCAAATGACACGTGCAAGTAAAAATAGCTGTGTTAACACTGGATCATTTCTGAATGAGCAGTGGGTATTAACACACAGACTGGTTTGTTTTAATTCACAGATTCCCTCAGATTGTTTCACAGCTCTTCAGATTTCAAGAGATGTCTTTTTCAGGATTAGGGGTTTGGTTTTGTGGGGTTTTTTTTTCAAAATTTAGAAAATATTTTGATTTTGAGTGACTGTATCTGCTATTGTTCCATTCTTTGCTGCCTTCCCTGATTTATCACTTACTTTTACTTTCTGCATACTCCACTGTCAGTTTTCTCCAGTTCTTTTATTTTCCCAGTGAGAATGAAGATAACTTTCTTGTTTTCTTACCAGCATTTATGAATCAAGCCCAAGCTCTATTTGTAATAGTCCCTCGAAGAATGGAGACTGTCATTTCTTTCACAGCTGTAGAATCTGCTCTGTTTGTTTAATGGTAGTCATCTATCTTTATTCTCCAGAAGTGTAACTCCTCAAGGGCAAGGCTTTCAAGCATGCAGAGACAGAGGGTTCTTCATTCAAAAGCAATTATTTCATAATGCACCAAAATGAGGGACTCGAGTGAGGACTTAATTACCATTTCACCAAAATCCCTGGATGCTCAGGCCCTTCCGGCGTAGGACTTCATGGTGAAAACATGTAGCAAATGGAGCTTGAAACAGAGCGGTGCGTCGTTCTGCGGAGAAACGCCATCGTAGCGGAAGATGCATTTCCTCTTCAATATATCTGTATCCATACATCACTTCTGCCACATTCTAGACCCAAGTGCTGGCTTTGCTTTGTCAGCTCTGCTATATTGGTTTCTTTTTCTGATAATAATGACGTTGCCCAGCTGTCAGGCCAAAGATCAGACCCAAGTCTCCTCACTTTGCCCCAGATTGGCTCTGTGCTGACTGCTGACTTAGCCCTGGGTGAATTTTAGAATTAAATCTACAAATGCACTTAGATTTTGAGAAAAAAAATCTTGAGTTTTTGAGTTACACTCTTAGTCTTTACAGGTTACTCCAGCTCCTCAGTCTTAGTGTCTAGGATAAGTTTTCCACTGGATAGTAATTTGCAGGTTGGTTGTATTTTATGCCTAAACTACTTTACAATGCCCCATAAAACATTATGTTAACTGAGTTTTTGATTACACCATTTTGTCTGTGGTCTAGCCAAAATGAGGTTATCCCCAGGCAAACTTCGGATACCATTTCACTTTCTGCCTGGTTTAGCATAACACAAATTGCTAGTGATTAAATTTGCATGACTTAAGAAGTTATTGGACTTCAGCTGGAAGTTGCTGTCTCTCAGCTTGACAGTGATTCTAGCAAGGCCATTTCACTTGATGGGAAAGCAACTTCCAGCTGTGGGGAAAGAGACTTCTCTCTTGCTATCCTAATTTCATTGATACCAGCCAGCTTAGATGGAGAATCTGATTTCTGCCACCGTTTCCCTATTTGATCTCCTTTGCAACTGTATTTCCAGAGAGGACAGCTTATGATGCCTAAAGGACACTTTCCCCTGTTGCTGCATGCCTTATGTGAGCGCTGACACGATTATACAAAATCCAGAATCTTTCACTCATTTTTCAGTGTAAATCGTTATAATCAGTGACCACTTACTCTGGGTTTCCAGTAAAGATGTGTCCTAACTTTTGAAAATGTATGTTTCTAGATTTTGTTGTTCACCAGATTTTGCCCTACCAGTCAGTTTCAGTGGATACATTCAACTCAAAGAATGATGTGTTCGTAGCCATTGCACAGCCCAGCATGGAGAACTGCATGGTGCTGGAGTGGGATCACATTGAAATGAATTTCAGGAGTTATGACAACATCACAGGTATATGAACATCTGGATTCCCATTGTTAATGAACTGTTGGTGTTTCACAAGGACAAGATTCATAGGTGGGACAAGTTGATGGGTTTTGTTCTGAATCTCTGTTGAATTTGGCAGATGAAAGCATATAATGTTTGGACATTAGTGACCTCATGGAGTAGTGCATCTTGTTAATACATGCACATTTAACCTCGCTGTGGCACACAAACTAGGCTTTTTTTGTCTGATCTTGTAGATTGTTCTGAAGGCACAAACACTTGCTGTGAATGTCACGCTGTGGCCCGGCTTAGCACTCACTGTGAATCACACTGCAGGTTATGGTGCAAGCTGAAAGAGCCCTCGCTCCTGCCAAAGTGCCTACAAAGTAGAATATAAAAATGCTCTACTGCATGTAGAAGGAAATAGGTCTGAAGGATGCTTCTAGGGTGGGCTAGCCAGGAAGGTGTGTTTTGCAGCTGACGATGACATAGAAATATTTAAACTGTGGTTGTTACCTAGAGAGATGTGCTGTAAAGCTTTCACGTTTACTTGCCATTTACAAACATGCTGAATTAGCATCGTGGCCAGATTACTCATCAAACAAAAAGCCAACGTGGATGCCAAGCGATTTTCTAATGCTAACAACCGTTCTGGCCCTAACTGACACTCATGGTGCTCAGTCACACCATGACAACAGAGACAGAGTCTTCAGAGCTGTTATACACTGCCTGATTTCCCAGCTACTTCAAGCTACTGGTTCTGAAGACTCAGGAGCTAAATTTCTTCATGGACTTTCCTTCCCTCATATTCCTTGTAACGTGTGATAGATTATTTTTTATCTTGCATTTTGGGAAACAAAGAGTAAGCTGCGTCCCCATCTGGTCTACAAAGGCAGCAACCACCTCCCTCCTCAGGTCAGCTGTGTGTCGCTAATGAAAGTTTACACTAATGAAAGCTACCCCTCCTTCAGGAAATATTGGAAACGAAAATTTTGCCTTTTTTATGTTTCATTGTATTCTGGTAGATTGGGGGAAATATGTACCAGTGAATGACAATTGAGAAGTTGATGGCCCAGAGAGTGCTAGCAGAGCTCTAGAAAAGCTCTGGAAATGAAATTCAGAGGTTGGGTCATTTCCAAGTTGTCTTCTAGTCACCTTCCTGTGAATAATGTGATTAGGAGACACTTCTGCTGGGTGCCTGTGTCCTAGCTCCACAGCCAGTGTGTGTGCCCAGGCTTGTTTCTTCAACAACCGTCCTGTGTTCCTGGAAGGTCTGAGCTTGAGCTCTGGGCTGTGAAATGTAAGTGAGAGAGAGACTTTTGCCAGGGGACACGGGCATGTAAAGAGCCTCCTGCAGAGCCTGAAGAGTGTTTTGTAGAGCTCAGAAGCCAGCTGTGTGCTGTAACTGTGTGCTTGGCATTCGGATATCTGAATTTAGCCCTTTACAACATGGGCTTATGGAGTTGAGATAGTTACAGTCAACAAGCAGAGAATAGGTGTTGCTGTCCTCTGCAAAAGGTACATAACACAGGCCAGGTGAAATCTCCTGTAGAGTGCTTTTTGATTAAGTCAGACCAGAAAGACCCTCGATGATCAGCTCAACCATTCATGTCTGTGCTGCAGATACCTTACAGTACTTGAGATGGATCCCACCCCTCCTGCACTGGGTCGGTGGTGGTAGATCACCCCAGGCTGGCTGTGAAACAGCTATGGGCAGGGGACCAGCAGAGGTGCCAAGGTGATTCTCCTGTAGTGACTGTGACCAAGCACACATAGGAGAATCTGTGCAGTTACAGTTCTACTTAAACCATGCATTTCAGAGAGGAATTCCTCTCTTCTTCCAACAAAATCTTTCATAAATAGTCCGTTTGTTACTTTTTTTGGTGTAGTTCTTGTACAGTGACTTGACATAACATGATCTGATCTAATCTGGCAATTACAATATTCCTAAATATTTCTAGTTAAACATAATCTCAAGAATACTTAATAGAAACAACAGAGTCAGATTTATCTTTTTCATCCTGCTGTCAGGTGATACATCCACAAGATGCGTCAATATTTCTATTTACAGTAGCAAAAAGCTGACTCTGGCCCTCTTAGAGCAAGAAAAATAGACTATATTTCATTCTTCTGGTTAAACTGGAAAGACAGACATTCCAAGAATAAGAGGATTTTAGATTTCTGCTGAGTCATGAGATAACTCTTCCAGTATCTGAAGGGAGCCTATAAGGATGCTGGGGAGGGACTCTTCATTAGGGACTGTAGTGGTAGGGCAAGGGGGAATGGTTTTAACTTAAACAGGGGAAGTTCAGGTTAGATATAAGGAAGAAGTTCTTTACAGTGAGGGTGGTGAGGCACTGGAATAGGTTGCCCAAGGAAGTGGTGAATGCTCCATCCCTGGGGGTGTTCAAGGCCAGGCTGGGCAGAGCCTTGGGTGACATAGTTTAGTGTGTGGTGTCCCTGCTCATGGCAGGGGGGTTGGAACTAGATGATCTTAAGGTACTTTCCAATCCTAACTATTCTATGATTCTAAGATTTTGGAATAACAAAATTCAGGTTCAGTAATTGTTTTGGGTATTAGGGTGCATTTGTTTGAACAAACAGAGAAAGAAAAGCTATTCTGGGTAAAAATGAATTAACATTTTAGGGTGCATCATACTTGCACACCTTGAGGGCTGTGACATTTTCAGTATTTGAAGTCACCTTTCCAGTTCCTGGGGAGAAAAAAAGCATGAAAAGAAGCTCGTATGGTATGTAGCAGAAGACAAAATTATCAGATGGTGCAGATATAAAAAGGCAGAGGGGTGATGTGGTAATCTCTCTGTGGTTTAAAGGGTGCTTTGTACTGTGCTAATATATGTGCTTTCTTTTTTCTTTGGGCAATAGGTCAGTCCATAGTGGGATGTAAAGCCATTCTTGTTGGTGACCAAGTCTTTGTGGTTGTGGCACAGCTCTTTGGTGGCTCACACATTTACAAGTATGACGAAAGCTGGACAAAGTTTGTCAAATTCCAGGATATCGAAGAATCTCGCATCTCCAAGCCAAATGATATAGAGCTTTTTGAGATAGACAGTGAAATGTTTTTTGTCATAGCAGATAGCTCTAAAGCAGGTTTGTCAACAGTGTACAAGTGGAATAACAAAGGATTTTACTCATACCAGTCCCTTCACGAGTGGTTCAGGGACACCGATGCTGAGTTTCTCAATATAGATGGGAAATCACATTTAATCCTCTCTAGCCGTTCTCAGGTTCCCATTATACTCCAGTGGAACAAAGCTTCCAAAAAGTTTGTTCCGCACAGTGAAATCCCCAACATGGAAGACGTTTTGGCTGTGAAGAGTTTCAGGATGCAAGATAGCCTGTACATCACACTCACGAGATTCATTGGTGACTCCAGAGTTATGAAATGGAACAGCAAACAGTTTGTGGAGATACAGGCTCTTCCATCCCGAGGAGCCATGACGCTGCAGCCTTTCTCCTTCAAGAACAATTACTACCTAGCTTTGGGAAGTGACTATACCTTCTCCCAGATTTACCAGTGGGATGGCGAAAAGAAGATCTTCAGATTATTTAAAGAAATCTATGTGCAAGCACCACGGTCTTTCACAGCTGTGTCAACGGATCGAAGAGATTTTTTCTTTGCCTCTAGTTTTAAAGGAAACACTCAAATATTTGAACATATCACCATTGACTTGAGTTTATGAGAAGCTGCTGGAGTGAAGTTCGTGTAGAATGACATTTATACACAAACAAAAGAGACGTTTCCAAAACCAGGGTGCACCTATGGAGTATGACGACATTTTCTTAACTTTTCAAACTTGCATATTAATCAGGGATTGCATTTACTTGGTTACTGCATGACATGTCTGTTTTATCCTTTTTCAAAGACACTTTGCAGTCTGCAGTCATTCAGAGGAGAGTGCAGTGCATCAGGATTAATGTTGGCATCTAAGGGAATGGTCTCCATTTTACCCAGAAAACTACCTTCAATTGAACATCTCATAAAGAAAGTGAAGAGTAACCCATAGCATAGAAATTACCTTGACTCTTAAACTAGCATGTTAGTAATGATTTTAAGACTAGAGCCAGTTCTTCATGATTGCTGCTGAATTGTAAAAGCAAACAGCAACATCCCAGAATAGACTTTATTTTGGTTTCTTGAGGTCTGTCTTCAAAATCTGTCTTTGTGGTTATAATAAGTCTGAGGCATCATTTTAAATCATTGTAGATTAAAGGGAAAGTCAAAATTTATTGCCATTTTTCTTCCATTATTCACTATTTCAGCAACAAATGTTTAACAAGTAGCCCAGCCCACGGTAATTGGGTAGCCAGAAAAGGAAGAGTATGTCACCTCTGGACTGCAAGATCTTAACAAGTTAACATAGACAGAAAATAACAGGTCTGCATGGTGCCATGAATGAATCAACTACAAGCTCCTTCTGCTTTCTGTTTTAATAGGTATTCCAGAAATCCACGCCATTCATGCTTTTTCTGATGATCCCAGTAGATTCTGGGGTGTTTTAACAGTATGTTGTGATCTCTCATTCTAGAAAGCGCAGCTGAAGCTCGGCCTGAAACACATATCTACATTCACACACTCAGTGCTGTAGCTTGTCTGCATGCAGAGAGATGATTTATTCTCCAGTGCTCCCTCAGAACAGCTCACAAGCAGTAAATTGAGGTCTTGGTCATCACAAGCTGTATTTGGGGAATCCTCCTGGCTGAGGTCTAAGTATGACTTCAGTATGACTGAGTCTTTGGAAACCAAGGCAGCTGGAGCTGTTCCAGGCTAGAGTGATCCTTGCCTCCAAGAGGGATTTCTTCTTGGTGGCTCCAGGCTTTTGCCAGGTTGCCAACCCAGTGAAACTGGAGGATGTAAACACATGGTGCCCTACTGGTGTTTTGGGTGGCTACAGACTAAGGCATTCAGTCATCCTAAACAGGGCAGTCCTGGCATGCAGAGCCTCTGGCAGGGTAACAGCAAGGGACTGTTTTCCTGGAAAGGCTTTCTCCCCACCCTTCTTACCCAACGGAACTGTATCAGAGCCCTCATTTGTTCACTTACACGGTGTGTTTGTTTGAGTTTTCATACCACTTAGCATACTAGGTTGTTTTACCATGTCTTGCTGCTGAATTGCTGCCTTGGATAAATAGGGAGGCTTTGCGTAAAGCTGGCAGAGCAAATGAAACTGTCCTTTATTCCTTCACACTCAGGGCTATCTCACCATCTCTGTTCTGAGTGAGCTTCACATTTTTGCCTTGGACATGTGAAACATAGCTTATTATTACAAATAGAGGTGTTCTTACAGACTTTCCAATGTCCAACACACCTTCCCCAACTTTTGCCTCGCTGCTATGGAATAGAATTATTACTGGTCTGTCAGACCCAACTCGTTTTATTCTGGTTTTAAATTACGTATTTGTTTTTTCCCTATAGAGATGTTCATCCTGGGTTTATTTTTAATTACATTGGCAATTTAGCCCATCCAGCCATCTGAAGTATTGAGCACTGGCCTCCGAATCCCAGTGTGGTTTCAGTCCTGATGTTTCAATCAGACCAGTAGATGCAAACTAAGCCCCTGTAGTAGGTTTTAGCAATACCTCTCCTAGGATTAAGCTAACAAATCCAACAAAACAGAGGCATGATTCATATGTTTGCCAGTGAATGCAATTTCTTACTATGTTCCCAGTTTACTTTTTAAAGTGGGAATGACTGGCAAGCGATGTTTCTTTAACCTGTGTTGTGAGAAGCATTTTTGATTCTTTTCTGTTGAGCACGCATGTTTAAATGGAGTCAGATGTTCTGATGAGGAGGGGCATTTCTCAGTGTGCCAGCACTTTTTTAGGGCTCGCTGTGAGTAGCATTCCCTCAGCAAGGGGCACCAGGCAGAGCTAAAAAGCTAGTTTAGAGAAACTGGATCTTGGCAATTTTTACTTGAAGGGAAGAAAGAGGATGGTAGAAAAGGGCTTGTGTATCAAATACCAGGAGATTGTACTGTTTCAAGAGCCAGGGGGATTTTGAGACTTGGCTATCAACTTCAATTAAATTAAAATGGTCTCTGCAGAGACAGGCTTAGTAAAGAGGATAGAGTGATCCGCAGGAGTCCAGCTCATTCACATGGGACCAGAAAAAGAAAGTGAGGGAAATGAATTCTGTGGGAGGCTGCCACTTCTGCTGAGTAGCTGTGTTGGTTGGCCAGAAAGGCCAGCTCAGCATCCCTCCCAGCTTCAGGAGGAGCCTGGAGTCAGGCACTGACCCTCTTGTTCTGCTGAGTTAGTGCAGGAGGTCAAAGCAACTGAGAGGAAGGGTAAAAAAGCACCAGCTGATGTGGAAAAGGTTACGGTATGTTTCATAGGATTAAACAAAAGCAGGGGCTCAAAAAACGTGTTCTGCGCTTCCTGCTCCCAAGGAAAGGTGCGGGATGCAGCCATAACAACAGAAATACTAGACATCAAGAATACTTTCTGCCTTTCCAAATGTGACAATGGTTTTGTCTCCATGCCCTGTATTCTGTAATAGAAATTGTTTTGAATAGTGAATTAACTATGCATATACATAATTTATTGAAACTGTTAGGCCATAAGGACAGTGAGAAAGGATAAAAGAACATGCCACCTGGTAATTTTTAATGTATTCTAAAATACATGCAACTATGTAAAGAACAGTAGTTTATATAAGCATAGATTTAATAAAATGTGCTAGCTACAGTGGGAGCTTTTTAAGGCTGTATATACATTGAGCTTTTCTAGTAAAGAGGAGCTGATGCAGTCTATGCTACTGACACATGTATGAACTCTTTCAATATATGAATAAAATGTAGTTAATGAGACTAATAGTGGTGTGCCGTGAGTGTTAAAATACCCATGCGGTGAAGATACGCACTGCCCGAGGGATGGACAAGGTGGGTGAATGCGTCCTTGTCTATTTACAGTCGGTTCTGGCTTTTGAAAACGTGGAGGAAGCTCTGCTAAGCTTAGTTAAATTCAGTTTCTGTGCCTGAAGTAGGTCGGACCTCCAGGTTTTGCTGTTCCCTGGCTTT